AGGAAAGGAAGGAGGTGACTAAGGTTTCTGACTGAGTAAATAGTAAATGGACCTGTACTTGTATAGCACCTTTCTAGTCTTCAGACCACTCAAAGCACTTTTACACTACGTGCCACATTCACCCTTTCACATACACATTCACTCAGTGATGACAAAGCCCATCGAACAGAAACTAATGCATTCATGCACAGCATCGGGAACAATTTGGGTTCAGTATCTTGCTCGACATGTATGCAGGAAGAGCCGGGGATCGAACCACCAACCTATCAATTAGAGGACGACCCGCTCTGCCTCTGCACCACAGCCGCCCTAAAATCTATCTATTCATCTATCTGTAGCAACATACAGACAGAGAGAGAGAAATGTATTTTGCGTCACAGATAACAAACCTGTGTCAAAAACAAAAAAAGGTTTAATTGTTTATATCCACTGTGCTCCGCCAACACTAGACTAGACTCATACTGTCGAACCTGGCCCATAGATCGTGACAAAAACAGCAACATTGGAGTGGCAATGCAGAGCTTTTCCAGGTTATCTTCATAACATAAAACAAAATACCAAGAAACCCTTTTTTAAGTTCTTTGATGCAATCGACTTTAGATTTGTAGGTTGATTCCTCGTTGTCCTGCAGCATAATGAAATAAGATTTCACATGCAAAACAGCATTAAATATGTCAAACAACCTGTTTTGGAATACCTGTGAGTGTGTTTAATTAGTGATTGGATTTTCTTAATAATTTAGGTGTTTTTTATGGCCATTAAGGATTAAAAAAGCAATAATTAGGCCCCAGTGAGGATTGAACTCACGACCCCTGGTTTACAAGACCAGTGCTCTAACCACTGAGCTATAGAGCCTTTGGTACGGACATCAGGATGAGATCACAATATAAAGACACACTTTGAACAATGGGTGTGGTGCCACACTAGATCAACCAGTTACAGGAGTGTCCTGAGCTCGTGGCACTGACTAGTTGAAAGTGTTCACATGATGTAAATGCTAATCTCAATAAAGATATCATCCAAACATTTTTCTTTAACGTCCTTTAGGTAACTCTATGGCCAGACGGGGGCGTTCACTTCGGGGCTCTCAGTCTCAGCTGCTCCTGGACATGCCATTACGCACCCAGAGCCAGTGTAAGTGCACGTACGTACTTAAACACGCAGTTTTAATAAAGTAAGTCTCTAAAAAGGTATTTTCTTGTGCTTATTTTGCAGTGAGCGGTATAGATTGTGTGCACCTGACTGACGCCGTGAATCAAGCCAAGCAGTACTCTTACCACCTGAGACCACATAGTGCTGGACAGGGGACCAGAGGCCGGGGAAAACATTGAAGAGAGAAACACACACACACACACACACACCTCATGTTCTTTGATGTTTTCTCAGCTGGCTGGCAGCATTACCTCTATAGAATTACTACACACATTGTTCGCTCAATGTGCCAAGCTTTCTAAAATTAAGCCATATGACATCAGAGCCATGACCTCACGGGGTGGGGTTAAGTCTACAGAAATGGTGTGTGTAAAAGATAACCTTTCATCCATTGTGGAAGGAACACATACACACGCCATCTCCCTCGCTCTCCATCGCTCTCGCACACACACTGAGATAACCTTTCCTCCTGTTGTGGAGAATGAGGCAGTCTATCAACAGCCGGTCATACAGATAGCCCACCTGCAGCCACGGACACACACAAACACACACACACAGTTACACAACAGTCTGGTCTCTAAGTGCTTTCCCTCTCAAGAGAAATATGTATTTCTTAACTATGCAGTTTTTATTCCCATAAATATGCATTTGCGCAAAAATAATCCATATTGTATAATTTTAGATACCTCAATGTCTGTTTCTATTATAATATGTAAAGTAAAATGAAATAAAAATTGACACTAAATTGCAGCGCACCTGGATTTTACTTTATTTTTTTCATTTTTAGTTTTTTTTAAATCAAAAGTCATCAAGTGCCCACAGTGAGCACTGGACAATGTTCAGCAACAATAATACTCTGACAATTACCAGGCTAAGAATGAAGCAATAAAGAGGCAGCTTAAGACAGAAAAAAACTGGAGCTCTCAAGACAAGAATGTGGAGAAGTCATTGTCACTTACATTTAAAAAAAATACACTTCACTTTATTCCTGTGTGAAAGTTTTCTTGTGTGTACTCATCGCTACTGTAAGATAATTGAGAGGGTGAACCGACGAACACACCAGGGCGTGTCGGTCAGTAAATGTCTCGGAGGCCCAGATTTCCACGTCGAGCGGAAGAGCTGTGAGCCATGGTGACACTGTAACAGTAGAGCAAGTCTGTCAACCACTGCTCCCTGGTCGCACCACGGGAATACCTCTGAAACACACACACACACACAGAGACATCAGGTTAACAGACTCCATGAGATGTTAACAGACTTAATCTCTCCGTCCCAGAAGCCTTAAAGTCCATCCGTGTGAATTTGATGTCTGAGGTGCGTTTACCGTGAGGTGTTGTATGATCTCCTGCAGCAGACCGGCGTTGGCCAGCAGATGGTTGTGGAGCGGCGTGTGCTGCAGCAGCATTGATAGGATCTGCCCGAGCTGTGGCAGCTCCTCCTCATTCAGATCTCCAACACGCAACAACTGCAGGACCATTCGCAGCAGGCGAGGAACGGTGCTCAGTGCTGACACACAAGCACCCCATATTGCCTCCCTGCAAATGTGACGCAAATTGTTGTAAATCATCATCACTTTATGATGTAAAGAGAAAACTGCTATTAAGGTCAAGATCTCCTATCAACAGGAGATCATTTTAACACAGATCAGTAATGGTACGTGTCAAGGGGGGTGTTTTTGGAAGCGAGAGGTCGTGCCACTTCCCATTGGATGCTTGTAGTTATATTGACTGACAAAAGACTACAACCCCATTAAAACCACGTAAACACTTCTTGGCTACACCTGATTGAAAGATTTCTTTGTCTTAGTGCCTTTAATTAGTGATTGGATTTTCTTAGTAATTTTACTGGTTGTATGTGGCCACTACGAATTAAAAAAAGAAACAATAATTAGGCCCCAGTGAGGATTGAACTCACGACCCCTGGTTTACAAGACCAGTGCTCTAACCACTGAGCTATAGAGCCCTTGTTAAGGACATCAATATGAGATCACAATATAAAGACACACTTTGAACGATCATGGGTGTGGTGCCACACTAGAGCAACCAGTTACAGGAGTGTCATGAGCTCGTGGCACTGACTGGTTGAAAGTGTTCACATGATGTAAATGCAAATCTCAATGAAGATATCATCCAAATATTTTTCTACTGAAATGTACTGATAGAAAAAATGCAAAATAAATGCATTGCATGGCTGCTCACATAGACAATGACTGATCCTGTGAACATTACGTTATGTTGTAGTCATTACACACACCTTTTGTGGTTGGTTTCAGCAGGTAACTCCTGCTGCAGGGTGATGAGCAGAGCCAGCAGGCTGAGGCAGCACTGAGACAAGAAGCGCAGCACAGGCTCAATGGGCAGGACGGACAGGTCCAGTAATCTGGATACAGCTCTGAGCAGCCCCGCCGCCATACTGTCAGGCACCAGCCCCAACTTGGTCTGAGACACACACGGAAGACGTTCAGTATGTTTTCAAATAAAGACGACAGCAGTAACACGTGAAGAAAGGCAGTTCAAGGAATAAAACCAGCACAAAACCAACTAAGATTGAGAAATCCTCAATGTAATTTTCCTGCTGAATAAATACAGTTTCTTACCAGATATTTGCAGATGCCATTTTGCAAGATGTCAAAGCACTGAGATTTTGAACCCAGAGTTTCCAGACTGTGACACACTTCCTATGAATCAAACAAAAAGATAATTTAATATCAAACAAATGTGCTTTTTCCATAGAATTTAATTTTAGCATAAATTGTAACCACAATGTTTAAAAAAACTTTCATTGTGCTTTCAGTTGGAAGATCTGAAAGCTTTTCAGGTCTAATCTTCTGTTGAAATCGTTGACTGCAGTGGATAATATAAGGGGTATTTAAAAAAAAAAAAGTCCCAGAGGGAGAACTACACAATGCCTTGATTTCTTATGGCTTTGTGTATTAAACAATGCACAATTTACGCTAAAAACACAGCATAAGTTTATGTTTCTATCACAATTCTAGGAGTAAGCAATACATTGAACCAAATCCTGTTTCCAAATGATTTTCATTCCCAGATCGTCAGGTAATACATATAACTGATCGATCTTCTTAAACATGGTTAAAAAACAATGGCAGGTCGGTAAAATGAAACAGCAGTAATGATATTACTGACAGACAATTAAAGAGCAAATTAAGAAAAAACTTTATCAGATAAACCACATTGCTGCTTAAAATAAATGGAGAATTAGAACACAAGAAAGCATACCAGAGTATTTCTACATTCCTGTCTGGATGAAGAGAGGCCTTCACTTCTTCATCATGCCTTCACCAAAGAAAACTGAACAACAAAATTTCATTCATGCTGGAATCTGGTCTTCACTGAAGACAAGATGGATTTCAGGCCTAAGAAGCCGCCAAACTTTTGAAAAGTGAATAATAAGGCTCAGCTTTTCCTCATTAACTTCAAATTCAAATCAAATTTCTCATTAGCTTTTATCAAATTGAGGTGTGTGTGCGTGCCGAAGTGCGGGAGTGGGTGCGAGCCAGTGTGTGTCAGAACGGTGCACCTGTTGGCATTCTCGCCGTCATTAAAAACAATCCTGTCTCATTAGTCGAACCAGAGTTGACACAGTCCGTCCCTTAATGCTGCCCCCCCCTTTTGCCACTACGTGTCCCCTCCCTCCTCCTTCCCGCCACTTGCCTGTGATTGACTCAGACAGGGAGATGAGAGAGGCAGGATCTGAGGGCTTAATTGAGGAGCTGAATTAGTGATTATAAGCCCCCCACTTGCTCACACACTCACACACACTTGCCCCGGGGCATAGTTACGTTAACTGTAATTTCTGTGCAGAAATGTCACACTCCCATCATGCCATGGGCTCTCATTAGCATTTGTGCATATCCGCTATGCCCGATAACCACGCATCTCCAACCTGCGCAACGCGATAAAGGTTCCCCTCTCAGCCGGAGTGCCACGATAAAGCTTCCACCCTCTGAGCTCTATATGAGAGACAGAGGGACCAGGGGGGGACTGAAAGACCACAACTGTGTCCAGAATATCAACACTTTTCAATTTTCAAAACAATGTCTTTTCTCCTCTTCCTTCACCTCCTAATCTCTGTCCCTTCTGGATTCATTTTTCAAGTGTTTCTGATAGGCTGCGACACTGGTAAGAGTTAGAATGTAGTATGTGAGGTTTGAGGTAACGGTAAGAAAGACAGTGTGCAGTGAACGCACCTCAACAACATCCCAGTGGTGTGTGAATTGCTCCAGCGGGGTCGGGTAGAGGCTGAGGGGTGAGAGAGGGGAGGGAGGCAAAGCGTTCTCGTCGCCGGCCTCCTGCAGGGAGGTGAGCTTGTCGGACGAGAAGCCCGTCAGGGTGGAGAACAGGAAGCTGATGTAGTCCACGTCCTGCAGAGCCGCTTCCTGGCTCCCAACCGACCAGCTACTCAGAGATGACCTGGAGAGCATAATCAGTGAACACGTTACACAATTGGTGGCGCAGGAATCTGCGTTCAACTTGAAGCTGGAAAGCCACATCTTTCAGAATATCAAACGTTTTTTACAGATTGTCATTTGTGCAACCTTTTTAAAACTTTACACTTTTTTGGACACACCACTTATTGCTACATTCATTTCCATATTTTTCCAATTTTTCTGCTTATATATTCTTTATCTCTTCGAATGATTCATAATGCTGTGTTCTGTAAGAGCATAGAGTGCATGGATACATAGTTATAAAAGATTCTTCCTTCCTTCTTTTGAAGGGAGGATAAATCTGTAACAGTAAGAAATGTGAGTGAATAACAAGTGTTTTGTGAAGCCCGGGAGGCACATGCAGACAGAACTGTCTTCTCAATACTCCATGACGACTCTGCATTCCTGCTTCCCAAAGAGCTCTTTGTATCATACCCATTACACACACACACACACGTCCCATCCCATATGAACTCAGCACTCCCTCTGCTCAAAATTTGTATAACACTGCCCCACTGACACAAGCAAAAGGTCAGACTCACAAAGGTAAGGTGTGGGTGTTACAGAATAAAAAAAATTAAAAAAAAACAGCTTTTATTATCACCACTAAGTTAAATATCAAATATACAGGGCATCCACATCAGCACCTGCCAATAGGCAGGTAAGAAACCAGATAGAAATGTCAGATCAGCTCATCTGTGAAAGCGCAATAGTGCCATCTGATGGTGCAAGGAGTGTGCTACCCAATAAGTTGTAACTGTTTGGGTCCAAATGTAAGGGCATTGCCGTGATGTCTAAAATCTCTCGTAACACCCACATGCCAATAAAATTGAGTTCATGTGGCCTCTGCAGGTGTGTAGGGGTTTTAAAGCTCACCTAAGGTGTATGATACGAATCAGAGAGGCAGCAAGGCCAGCAGAAATCCGTCCAGCGGTGCAGCAGCAGCTCAGATTGGCCAGAAGAGACTGAGACATCTTGGGAAGGAAGTAGAGGAGCTGCACCATTTGTTGCTGGGACTCTGCTGGTAGCAGCACCACAACTCCTTCCTGTGGATCTTCACACAAACACACACTTTATATGTAATTATGTAGAGACAGCCATGCACTGCACCCTCTGGGGATATAACATGAAGCTCTATCAAGAAAATTAAAGCGATACCAGAAAAGCCAGGATATGTTCAGACTAGTAAAAAAAGAGACAGACAGACGGGCATAGCCACCACAGTGAGGGCTCAGATAGTGTGTGTGTGTGTGTGTGTGTGCGTGATGTTCTGTCTATCTCTGACGCACATGCTGATGTCAGAAGCCCTCAGACAAAAGGAGTCTTGTGATGGTGAATTGCTGGCTCTGCGGCTGTTTCTATCCGAACGCTGGCTGACTCCCCCACCCCACACACAACCCCCCCTTCTCTCCTGGCTCCCTCCGTCACACACCAGCCTAACTATCTGACCATCCTCAGAGCAGTGGATATGGTCTTATTACTGCTTTCCGCCTCTGGTTGCAGTTCAGTTC